GTGTCCCCTGTCCTGCCCCCAGGAGCTGCGGGAGACCAAGCGCCGCCACGAGACCCGCCTGGTGGAGATCGACAACGGGCGGCAGCGGGAGTTCGAGAGCAAGCTGTCCGAGGCCCTGCAGGAGCTGCGCAGCCAGCATGAGGCCCAGATTAAGCTTTACAAGGATGAACTGGAGAAGACCTATGGGGCTAAGGTGAGGGGCAGCCGCGTGCCGGGTTCCTCCTCCCGCATAGCCCCTTGCTGGGGCTCTGGTCTGCGTTTTCCCCCTCTGCACCTCGGGGTGCCGGCGGGCAAGGGGACCGGGGATGCGCAGGAGCGAGGCGCTAACCGACCTCGTCTCTGCTCTCCAGCTGGAGAACGCCAAGCAGTCGGCCGAGAGGAACAGCAACATGGTGGGCGCTGCCCACGAGGAGCTGCAGCAAACCCGCATCCGCATTGACAACCTCTCCTCCGAACTCAGCCAGCTGCAGAAGCAGGTGAGCCGGGGCCGTGGGCTTTGCTCGGGCTGGTACCCTCCCGGGGATGACCCCGGATGGAGCCGCCTGCCTCACCACCCTTCTCGCACAGCTGGCTGCCAAGGAGGCGAAGCTGCACGACTTGGAGGATGCTCTGGCCAGGGAGCGTGAGACCAGCCGGCGCCTGCTCTCCGACAAGGAGGGAGAGATGGCTGAGATGCGTGCGCGCATGCAGCAGCAGCTGGACGAGTACCAGGAGCTGCTGGACATCAAGCTGGCCCTCGACATGGAGATCAATGCCTACCGCAAGCTGCTGGAGGGCGAGGAGGAGAGGTGAGTGGGGGACACTGCCTGGATCTCCCTGACGGGCTGTGCGGGTCCCAGTCCTCACGTCCTCACCGACTCCATCTCGCCTTCTCCCCCTGTCCAGGCTGAGGCTGTCTCCCAGCCCCTCCTCCCAAAAAGGGGGATCTCGTGGCCATGGGATCCACTTCACCCCGGGCTCCTCCAAGAAGAGGAAGCTCGAGGACAGCGAGAGCCGGACCAGCTTCTCCCATCACGCTCGGACGAGCGGGCGCGTCGGTGTGGAAGAGGTGGACTTGGAGGGCAGATTCGTCCGTCTCCGGAACAAGTCCAACGAGGTGCGTTTGCCTCCAGGGAGGATCCCCAGGGCCTGCTGGATCCCTGCTGGTGTAATTCAGCCCCACTTCACCCTGTGGGCAGGAGGCAAACTGGGACGAGCTGGAGGGTCTCAAGGTTGCTGCTTTCTCTCTCGCAGGACCAGGCGATGGGCAACTGGCAGATCAAGCGGCAGAATGGAGACGATCCCCCCATCACCTACCGCTTCCCCCCAAAGTTCACCTTGAAGGCTGGCCAGATAGTCACGGTGAGTCACGGTGAAGGTCCTGCTGGGCTCCTGGGGTGGATCAGCGGAGGCCCCAACCCCAGCCAGGCCATTGGTCTTGGGAGCCTTCAGAGGCGATGCAGAGCGAGGCATACGATTGCTCGGGTTGGCGCCAGGCAGCGGGCTCCTTGGCACATGGCTCTGCTGGGGACCTGACCCATATCCCCGGGGTCTGGGCTCTGCCGCCCCACGGCATCACCGTTCTCTGTGCTTTTCTCCGCAGATCTGGGCCTCGGGGGCTGGGGCGACCCACAGCCCCCCCAGCGACCTGGTGTGGAAATCCCAGAGCAGCTGGGGCTCTGGGGAGAGCCTGCGGACTGCCCTGATCAACTCCAACGGCGAGGTGAGAGCGCGCGGGGCTGGGGCACGCCACGGCACGGGGAGGGGAGCCGGCCGACACAATCCAGCGGGGCGGCGAAGCAGCACGGGCCAGAGCCCTCTGACCCCTCTCCTGTCCCCTCCAGGAGGTGGCCATGCGGAAGCTGGTCCGCACTGTGATCATCAACGACGAAGACGAGGATGATGAGGATGATGAAGTCAGCATCCACCACCGCCATCACCATGTGAGTACCATGCTCAGGAAGGCGCTGGGCCCGGGGGGTCAGTTGTAGGGATGCTGGGGGAGCTCAGCTCTGGTCCCAGCTCTGGCTGGGCACTTCTGGTCCACTCCTGCTGCTTGGATCGGGGTGGGAGGCCGCTCGGCACCACGGAGGATCAGACCCTATGGGAGAAGGCACCTGGAAGGGTGCACTGGAAACAACCACGTGGAAGAAGCCAGCAGACCGGCGCTCAGAGAAGATGCCTGCTCACCAGGAGGGCTCTGCAGACCTCTCTGGTGATGGTGATGGGGGCAAGCTGAAAGCATCTCCAACCCAGAAGGACCTTGACCTACTGCATGAAGGCATGGAGGAACTGGGACAGAGGGCGAGCTGCTATCTGGAGTAGCCCACCCAGAGCTGGAAGACAGGATGGTGGAAAGTTGATGGAAGACGCTTCCCAACAGCAGCTGCTCCTACCTCTCTGCTTCACCAGGGCTCTGGAACAAATCCAGAGGTGACTTTGTCCTTCCGCTCAGCCCATCACTCCCTTCGCTGAGCTGAAATATGCCCAGGAACAGCAGCATGCGGAGAACAGGCAGCATGCCAGAAACGGAGCTGCGGCCCCTTCTGCCTGCATCAAAGCAAACATCCCTGGCTGCAGCGATGGGAGCCCCCCACCAGCCCGTCCCTGGGGGCAGAGATCTGTGTCTCGCGCAGGAGGCACCCGCGGGAATCGTGCACGGAGAGGTGCTCTCTCCCTGACCACACGCCTCGATGCTGCCGAAAAATCTGCCAGATGCAGCTCCCCGGGGCTTTGCATAGCAGGAGCTGGATGCAAGGTACATGATCAGCTTCCCTTCTAATTGCTCTGGATCCAAAGAGCCTTGCCAAGAGGGATATTGATTATCCCTGGATGAACGAGCCAGGCTCCCATGGGCCAGCGCTGCCCATTTGTCAGAGGCCTGAATCCTTTCCAAGGGCGAGTTTCCCAGCAGGAAGCAGTCAGCCGACTCGAGCTGGGCTCTTCAGAGGTAATAAGGAGGAGGATGCTCTCAGCTGAAGATGAGCACGGACAAAAACTCCGAAGAGCAATGAGAAGAGGCCGCCGGGGTCATGCCTGGTGCTGCCGCGGTCCTCGGGGTAGGACGCTCAAGCCAGAAGGCGCTCAGGCAGGTACTCAAGGACCTTATTGTGTGTGTTTCCCCCCGTTTAGGCCAGCTGCAGCGGCTCTGGTGACCCCGGCGAGTACAACCTGCGCTCGCGCACGGTTGTCTGCGGCACGTGCGGCCAGCCGGCCGAGAAGTCGGGAAGCCAGAAGGACATGGGGATGGAGAAGGACGTGGGGGTGGAGGACATGGGGATGGGGCAGGACATGGGGGATGGAGGACATGGGGATGGGGAAGGACGTGGGGATGGGGAAGGACATGGGGATGGAGAAGGACGTGGGGGTGGAGGACATGGGGATGGGGCAGGACATGGGGGATGGAGGACATGGGGATGGGGAAGGACGTGGGGATGGGGAAGGACATGGGGATGGAGAAGGACGTGGGGGTGGAGGACATGGGGATGGGGCAGGACATGGGGGATGGAGGACATGGGGATGGGGAAGGACGTGGGGATGGGGAAGGACATGGGGATGGAGAAGGACGTGGGGGTGGAGGACATGGGGATGGGGCAGGACATGGGGGATGGAGGACATGGGGATGGGGAAGGACGTGGGGATGGGGAAGGACATGGGGATGGAGAAGGACGTGGGGGTGGAGGACATGGGGATGGGGCAGGACATGGGGGATGGAGGACATGGGGATGGGGAAGGACGTGGGGATGGGGAAGGACATGGGGATGGAGAAGGACGTGGGGGTGGAGGACATGGGGATGGGGCAGGACATGGGGGATGGAGGACATGGGGATGGGGAAGGACGTGGGGATGGGGAAGGACATGGGGATGGAGAAGGACGTGGGGGTGGAGGACATGGGGATGGGGCAGGACATGGGGGATGGAGGACATGGGGATGGGGAAGGACGTGGGGATGGGGAAGGACATGGGGATGGAGAAGGACGTGGGGGTGGAGGACATGGGGATGGGGCAGGACATGGGGGATGGAGGACATGGGGATGGGGAAGGACGTGGGGATGGGGAAGGACATGGGGATGGAGAAGGACGTGGGGGTGGAGGACATGGGGATGGGGCAGGACATGGGGGATGGAGGACATGGGGATGGGGAAGGACGTGGGGATGGGGAAGGACATGGGGATGGAGAAGGACGTGGGGGTGGAGGACATGGGGATGGGGCAGGACATGGGGGATGGAGGACATGGGGATGGGGAAGGACGTGGGGATGGGGAAGGACATGGGGATGGAGAAGGACGTGGGGGTGGAGGACATGGGGATGGGGCAGGACATGGGGGATGGAGGACATGGGGATGGGGAAGGACGTGGGGATGGGGAAGGACATGGGGATGGAGAAGGACGTGGGGGTGGAGGACATGGGGATGGGGCAGGACATGGGGGATGGAGGACATGGGGATGGGGAAGGACGTGGGGATGGGGAAGGACATGGGGATGGAGAAGGACGTGGGGGTGGAGGACATGGGGATGGGGCAGGACATGGGGGATGGAGGACATGGGGATGGGGAAGGACGTGGGGATGGGGAAGGACATGGGGATGGAGAAGGACGTGGGGGTGGAGGACATGGGGATGGGGCAGGACATGGGGGATGGAGGACATGGGGATGGGGAAGGACGTGGGGATGGGGAAGGACATGGGGATGGAGAAGGACGTGGGGGTGGAGGACATGGGGATGGGGCAGGACATGGGGGATGGAGGACATGGGGATGGGGAAGGACGTGGGGATGGGGAAGGACATGGGGATGGAGAAGGACGTGGGGGTGGAGGACATGGGGATGGGGCAGGACATGGGGGATGGAGGACATGGGGATGGGGAAGGACGTGGGGATGGGGAAGGACATGGGGATGGAGAAGGACGTGGGGGTGGAGGACATGGGGATGGGGCAGGACATGGGGGATGGAGGACATGGGGATGGGGAAGGACGTGGGGATGGGGAAGGACATGGGGATGGAGAAGGACGTGGGGGTGGAGGACATGGGGATGGGGCAGGACATGGGGGATGGAGGACATGGGGATGGGGAAGGACGTGGGGATGGGGAAGGACATGGGGATGGAGAAGGACGTGGGGGTGGAGGACATGGGGATGGGGCAGGACATGGGGGATGGAGGACATGGGGATGGGGAAGGACGTGGGGATGGGGAAGGACATGGGGATGGAGAAGGACGTGGGGGTGGAGGACATGGGGATGGGGCAGGACATGGGGGATGGAGGACATGGGGATGGGGAAGGACGTGGGGATGGGGAAGGACATGGGGATGGAGAAGGACGTGGGGGTGGAGGACATGGGGATGGGGCAGGACATGGGGGATGGAGGACATGGGGATGGGGAAGGACGTGGGGATGGGGAAGGACATGGGGATGGAGAAGGACGTGGGGGTGGAGGACATGGGGATGGGGCAGGACATGGGGGATGGAGGACATGGGGATGGGGAAGGACGTGGGGATGGGGAAGGACATGGGGATGGAGAAGGACGTGGGGGTGGAGGACATGGGGATGGGGCAGGACATGGGGGATGGAGGACATGGGGATGGGGAAGGACGTGGGGATGGGGAAGGACATGGGGATGGAGAAGGACGTGGGGGTGGAGGACATGGGGATGGGGCAGGACATGGGGGATGGAGGACATGGGGATGGGGAAGGACGTGGGGATGGGGAAGGACATGGGGATGGAGAAGGACGTGGGGGTGGAGGACATGGGGATGGGGCAGGACATGGGGGATGGAGGACATGGGGATGGGGAAGGACGTGGGGATGGGGAAGGACATGGGGATGGAGAAGGACGTGGGGGTGGAGGACATGGGGATGGGGCAGGACATGGGGGATGGAGGACATGGGGATGGGGAAGGACGTGGGGATGGGGAAGGACATGGGGATGGAGAAGGACGTGGGGGTGGAGGACATGGGGATGGGGCAGGACATGGGGGATGGAGGACATGGGGATGGGGAAGGACGTGGGGATGGGGAAGGACATGGGGATGGAGAAGGACGTGGGGGTGGAGGACATGGGGATGGGGCAGGACATGGGGGATGGAGGACATGGGGATGGGGAAGGACGTGGGGATGGGGAAGGACATGGGGATGGAGAAGGACGTGGGGGTGGAGGACATGGGGATGGGGCAGGACATGGGGGATGGAGGACATGGGGATGGGGAAGGACGTGGGGATGGGGAAGGACATGGGGATGGAGAAGGACGTGGGGGTGGAGGACATGGGGATGGGGCAGGACATGGGGGATGGAGGACATGGGGATGGGGAAGGACGTGGGGATGGGGAAGGACATGGGGATGGAGAAGGACGTGGGGGTGGAGGACATGGGGATGGGGCAGGACATGGGGGATGGAGGACATGGGGATGGGGAAGGACGTGGGGATGGGGAAGGACATGGGGATGGAGAAGGACGTGGGGGTGGAGGACATGGGGATGGGGCAGGACATGGGGGATGGAGGACATGGGGATGGGGAAGGACGTGGGGATGGGGAAGGACATGGGGATGGAGAAGGACGTGGGGGTGGAGGACATGGGGATGGGGCAGGACATGGGGGATGGAGGACATGGGGATGGGGAAGGACGTGGGGATGGGGAAGGACATGGGGATGGAGAAGGACGTGGGGGTGGAGGACATGGGGATGGGGCAGGACATGGGGGATGGAGGACATGGGGATGGGGAAGGACGTGGGGATGGGGAAGGACATGGGGATGGAGAAGGACGTGGGGGTGGAGGACATGGGGATGGGGCAGGACATGGGGGATGGAGGACATGGGGATGGGGAAGGACGTGGGGATGGGGAAGGACATGGGGATGGAGAAGGACGTGGGGGTGGAGGACATGGGGATGGGGCAGGACATGGGGGATGGAGGACATGGGGATGGGGAAGGACGTGGGGATGGGGAAGGACATGGGGATGGAGAAGGACGTGGGGGTGGAGGACATGGGGATGGGGCAGGACATGGGGGATGGAGGACATGGGGATGGGGAAGGACGTGGGGATGGGGAAGGACATGGGGATGGAGAAGGACGTGGGGGTGGAGGACATGGGGATGGGGCAGGACATGGGGGATGGAGGACATGGGGATGGGGAAGGACGTGGGGATGGGGAAGGACATGGGGATGGAGAAGGACGTGGGGGTGGAGGACATGGGGATGGGGCAGGACATGGGGGATGGAGGACATGGGGATGGGGAAGGACGTGGGGATGGGGAAGGACATGGGGATGGAGAAGGACGTGGGGGTGGAGGACATGGGGATGGGGCAGGACATGGGGGATGGAGGACATGGGGATGGGGAAGGACGTGGGGATGGGGAAGGACATGGGGATGGAGAAGGACGTGGGGGTGGAGGACATGGGGATGGGGCAGGACATGGGGGATGGAGGACATGGGGATGGGGAAGGACGTGGGGATGGGGAAGGACATGGGGATGGAGAAGGACGTGGGGGTGGAGGACATGGGGATGGGGCAGGACATGGGGGATGGAGGACATGGGGATGGGGAAGGACGTGGGGATGGGGAAGGACATGGGGATGGAGAAGGACGTGGGGGTGGAGGACATGGGGATGGGGCAGGACATGGGGGATGGAGGACATGGGGATGGGGAAGGACGTGGGGATGGGGAAGGACATGGGGATGGAGAAGGACGTGGGGGTGGAGGACATGGGGATGGGGCAGGACATGGGGGATGGAGGACATGGGGATGGGGAAGGACGTGGGGATGGGGAAGGACATGGGGATGGAGAAGGACGTGGGGGTGGAGGACATGGGGATGGGGCAGGACATGGGGGATGGAGGACATGGGGATGGGGAAGGACGTGGGGATGGGGAAGGACATGGGGATGGAGAAGGACGTGGGGGTGGAGGACATGGGGATGGGGCAGGACATGGGGGATGGAGGACATGGGGATGGGGAAGGACGTGGGGATGGGGAAGGACATGGGGATGGAGAAGGACGTGGGGGTGGAGGACATGGGGATGGGGCAGGACATGGGGGATGGAGGACATGGGGATGGGGAAGGACGTGGGGATGGGGAAGGACATGGGGATGGAGAAGGACGTGGGGGTGGAGGACATGGGGATGGGGCAGGACATGGGGGATGGAGGACATGGGGATGGGGAAGGACGTGGGGATGGGGAAGGACATGGGGATGGAGAAGGACGTGGGGGTGGAGGACATGGGGATGGGGCAGGACATGGGGGATGGAGGACATGG